GGTTTCCATTCCGCCTTGGCCTCCTTTTCCTCCGCACCAACCTCCATGGTGCCTTCCTGCCAGTCAATGTCCGGATTGACTCTACGAAGCCAAGGTAAACCTAATACGACGTCTTCAGGGCCCAGGTCTGTAACTAAGAACTCGAGCCATTCTGTGTAGTCGCCCATAAGTACTTGTAACCTAACGTAATGGGATATGCTCCCTGCGCTGTTCTTGGAGCCGTCGATGTTGTAGAGGGGAATGTCTCTAGCTAGCCTATGTAAATAAACGTTGTTCTTCTTTACGAAACGGTGGCTGATGAAAAGGGCTGTTGCCCCACTGTCTATCATAGCTGCGGAACGTACACTGCGGTTTCTGCCTTTAAGAATCACACTGACGCGGAAATGCGAGCTAGATGGGTTCAATTCGGGAATGATACACGAACTAATACTATCGTACAGGCAGGGGTCAGGGATCTGGGGAGGCGAAGAGTCCGTAGTCGTACCAGAGGGCACCGCTGCGGCAGCTTTCGCGCGCGCCCGCTCTAAAAAGACTTCTGCAGGGAGGCAAGCTGGTCTGCAAGGGCCTTCTGCTGCTCCATGAGCTGTGCGATGAGAGCGTTGGTCGCTCCAGCATCTGCGGACGTCGACGTCGATGCTGCAACCTGGGGTTCCTCAGGTCCCTCCTCCGTGGCAGCGAGCTTCTGCGAGCGGGGCTTCTTCAGGAACTTGTCCATGCATACTGTCTCGCGGTGCCCTACGCAGCGACAGTAGCCACAGATGTCCCGGTCGTGGCCGCCATCCTTCTTAACATGCGCCGTAGACCCACAGCCGTAACACTTGCCGCGCATGAGGCGATTGAACTCTGCGCGCACGGGTTGCATCGATGTCCATTGCGTTCGGGTCCCTCGACGGAGGCGCGAAGGGGGTGGTGTGCAGCGGGGCCGTGGGCTTCACGGTAGTGGTCGTCGTCGTGGTGCGTCCGCGTTGACGATCTCATTCGGCACGGTGTTGGCGGACCCGGACATCGATGTCCGAGGAGACGGTGATGAGATCGTCCAGGGACGCATTTGGCCTTGCCATGTGCACCAGCTCGTCCTTGATGGAGTCCGCAAGGTGTTCGTAAAAGCGGTCGCGGAGGTCTGCCTTGGAGTAGCCGGTGCGGGTGGAGAGCTCGTTGAACCATGCGGCGTACTCCGGAACGGTCATGGTGCCTTGCCATAGCGTACGGAGACGTTCCTTTGCGTCGACCGCCTCGTCAACCGTCTCGAAACGGGCCTTGAACTGAGTACGGAACTCGGTCCACGATCCTTTGAGCGGGGTGGTGCCCTGCGTGATCTCCTCCATCGCCGGAGTGGCCCAAAGAGCTGCGCTGTCCTGCATAAACGAGAGGACCGCCCGAATCCACTGGTCGTCCCGCGCACTGATCGCGTTGCCCATGGCATCGACATGGTTGAGCGTCGAACCTTGGGACATGGCCCAAAGGGTGAACGCTGCCAGGAAACGCCGTGCCTCACCTCCTTGTTCGCCTTTGAAGGCGGAGGGCTTCTGAATAGCCTTCAGACTGCTGGTCCCGGTGGTCGAGTTTGCGAGCTGCGCCATGGACTGGGTGAGGAGAGTCATCGACTGGAGTAACACCGTCATGGGGTCCGGGGGTTGCGTTGCCGTCTGGGTGCCCGGTTGGGCCTGCTGGGGGTTGTTGGCGGGGCCTGTCGTCTGCGGTTGTCCGCCTTGTTGTCCCATGATGGGTGGAGCGGACGGCGGACGGGTTGGGGGGATGATAGGGGATGGGGGAAGCGCGATGAGTAGCGCTACTTCAAGCTCGTCAGTCGGAGTACCGGGGATGGGGGATCGAGTCGTGGGCGACTCAGCAACGGGGGAGTCAGGAACTGGGATGAACTCGTCCGAAAAGGTGTTCCAGTTGATCCGAGCAGGACGGTGATGACGGTTCGGGCAGGGGTTTTGCTCGCACGGTACCCAGTACCAGAGTCCGTCGTCTAGGTCCTTCCGTCGGTGACAGTAGTCTTGGTCTTCGGCGTCCCACGCGTGAAGTCTGCCGGCGCAGTCCAGGGTGGGGGAGACAATGTAGCGGCGGCGGGGACACTCTTGTTCAGAGCGTCAGCACCCGGGGAGAGATCTCGACCTAATGTCGCGGCGACTAGGCACGTAGACTCGGGTCGACGTTCGGCGACGACCCCGTAGGCGAGCGGCAAGGAGCCGAAAGGGAAAAGAGAGAGGGAGAGGGATAAACGCAACAAGAAACTCGACGGGGCAGAGCGGAGGCCGGCACGACGGCACAAGACCTACGAAGCTAGTCTTCACGCAGACAGCGACAGACTAGTCCCAATGACCAAGTTATGCATTAGCAATCGAAGGGAGATACAACACTATGGTCACTCACCTAGTCCCAATGACCAAGAGGTCGAGATGGGGACTAGGGGCGCCTAAGGGGGTCCTTATATACTCGAGGGGCTGCTTAGCAACCAAAGACAAAGCGCGAGAGCGAGGCAGTGAAGATGACAAAGGAAGAACAAAGGGCAAGAAAGAAAAGGCAAGAGCATGGTGATCACGGGAACGGAGCATGTGGCAGTGGGAACGTATCTACAGTGTCCAAACTGGGATGGGCTAAGAAAGGAAATGGTCCGAAAATG